GGCTTTGGGTCGCTTCGGGGCCCTGGAGCTTTCTGCTTTGTGATCCAGGTGGTTCCTTAGATCCTTTGTCTCCGCCTCATGGACGGGGAGTCCTCGGGAGAGGAATGAATCCCTCGACCCTCCGCCTGAGGCAGCAAACTCGTCGAGCCGGCTAAGGACGTTTACATTGTCTTTCTCCAGTTGACGTAATCTATCGCCAAATTTCTCTTCTATCACCTCTGCCAGTTGACGGGCCAAGGGGGCTGATCCTCCTGACCTGATCCCCATACTGGTTTGGGGGGTTACCCCCCTTGACCGAGTAGAGGCACTTTTAATCGTACTGGTCCGATCCCTCCCCCCGTGATGGCAGGGAGCTTGCAACTCATGACTCCTTTGGTAGGGTCCCTTCCCTTTCTGTCTGGTGTTCACCATGGTCACTGTTCTTTATAGAGAAAAGATTAGGAAAACTACTCGTTTCCCACAGACGGCGCCAGATTGTGCGTGCAAGATCCTGCACAATATAAAAAATATTGGGAACAGCTCTCTCCCCTGGTGAACTTTGAGTGAGCCGGTTGAGTGGCCAAACACACTGCTTGAAACAGCCTACAAGGAACGGTGGCAACCTAGAACGGCTAAGGAAGATCCTGGGAAAGGAAGAACGATCCTGTACGTGTGAAAGGTATTTCCTGGAACAAAGGAGAACAAGTTAGAAGGGCGCCGGAGTGTTTTCCGGCGTATCCCCTCCGACGGTCTAGTCAGTCTTTGAATGAGAGAGAGGAAGGAGAAAACACTGATAAGGATATTTTGTAGTAGTGAGTTTGTGATTGCCTACCCGCTTTGCCTTTTGGGAGGAGTATTTATACCTTAGAAGCTCATGATTGCTGTCAGTGTGGTCAGTAGGTGATCATCAGGCACTGGTAGCGTGTGTATTGATTTGATGAGGAATGTCTTCTCTAATTGACTGCTCGGGGTCCCGAGCAATCAATGTTGAGTCGTCGGGACGCCGACGGTACAATATGCTCCTTTCGGGAAGGATGTAATAAATGCTCCGTAATAGGAGCATTTATTGCCTTTCATATCCGAACCTTACCGCATTGAATGCGGTCTCGTCAACAGAAGGGTGCAATTAATTGTTTGCTTCCCAAAGCGCATGTCAGCAACAGCATGCGGTTTGCCTGTTTTTGATGTGATATCGTATGCCACGCGTCCGTCACGTATTGGCTATGACTTCTGTATTCCAGCATGTTCTGACATTACTTGTGTAAGACGAGGTCATGATGAATAGTCTAGAGGCTGATGTCCCGTACGTCAGTAGCTTTATCTGGGAGTAGAGGAAGCGTCCAGGATGGAGTGACCCTCGGCACCGAGGAAAGGCTCACCTCGGGGGGACCGAGGGGTGGTGTGTTTCCGAGGTACACGGTGACCGAGGACACGTGTCGTTGTATAATGCACCGAATATGTGATCCTATATGAGAGGTACCTCAGGGGAGAGGATACTTTGCCGATGGTGCTTGACCCCGAGCAACATTGTTCTAGCACCCCGAGGATACGTGTCTTCATCATAGGGCTTTTCAGAAGAGTCCCATCAACCAATATGCTTCTTACTGGTTCTTGGAATCTTTCAGTATTCCTACATGACAAGCCTGTCTTTAACTTAATTTTTATGTTTCCATTATTTAAAAAGCTTACAAAGAATCCTAAACCAAATGAAAAAGGAAGAACTCTAATTAAAAATCAATCCAAATGACATCAAATGGTATTCTTTCTCGTATGCAATCGCATATAATTCCAAAATAGATTAAGATAATAAATATTTTTCAATTGACGGTACTTTTTATTATTTCGGATTCCACACTACTAATTAAGAAAATTGAATAAAATCCATAGCGGTTATTTTTTTTTTACTTTTGATAACTTGTTGCCTTTATAATGCCACTGTGGCATGTCACTATACACTAAGAAATGTATTAATGTAGGCAAGTTACAACACCAAAGAAATCTAAAAATTAAGATGCAACAATAAAATATAATAAAAGTTACGTTTTATAAGAAACGAGAAATTAGGGTATGCACTATAGATGAGAATGTTTCAAAAGTCACTTTGGTTAATCAATGGTGATTGCATGCATCCCAATTTATATTATCATGTATATATTCAAAAAAAAACAAAAACACATACTTGATAAGTTTTATGGTCTTTAAAAACACATTGTACATCATAGGTGACGAAAAATATGCCCAAGTGCACCTCCCCTCTCCCTTCAAAAGTCTCATTGATTGAATTTTGTACAAATTTCTTCTCAAAAGTTAAGAAATTATAATTCAACATTTTTTAAAATAGCAAAATAGTGGATTGACGACGAAACTAATTACTATATTAGGTACCACCGAGTAGCGTGGTCTAGTGGTGGTACTGGTCTTACACCTCATTTAAAGATTGTGAGTTTGAGTCTTAGAATTTCTATTAAGGTTCGGTGGTTGACCGCTATGTTAACCTAATTTGGTTTGATCATGAGAAGTGTTTCAGGTACGGTTAGGGGCCTAATGATCCCACCGGTGAGAGCCTAACAGGGTGGTCACTAGACGTTCTTCTTTACCCTCACCCCTTTTTTTCAATTTAAAAAAAAAAAATTATTATATTAGGTGAATAGTCTCCAACCATATCCCAAATTATCGGTCAATCTTAAGGGTATTTTATGTGGTAATGGAGAAAAACTATAAATTCAAACGTGTTAAGTTTAAATCTTGACAAAATTTTGGGATCAGATTATGAAGGATAAATCTCTCATGAATATTCTAGTCCTAGCGTGAATAATTTGTTTTTGATTAAGTCAATGAGGAGATTAATCGAAATACGCACAAGTTAACCTAAATATCCCTTGAAAAAAAAATTATCAGTCGTGGCCAAAACTATACCACCAAAAAATAATACATGTTGCATTAATATTTGCAACATGTGGTAGAATGGCAAAAAATGATATTGACCATATAGATCTTAATTGAAAAAAAAAAAAGAAAAAAGAAAAAAAATTCCAATAGGTGTCATTATCTAAATTGCATCTCATTTACATTTGTCTCTATATCCGATAGGTGACGGTTATTTCAAAGTTTTCCCAAACCATGCAAAAAAGGATTTTTAAAAATCAGGTGGGATCACGTTGCCATGATTGGACAAAAGGTTAACAAAATGGCAATTCATGGTATCCCGTTTGTTTTGTTAAAACCACATCTATCTTACCTTAATTACAAGAAATCAATCCCATGAAAAAAGTTGTATGGAATGTATTTCACTCCTACTTTTCAGCTGTATTGATGGTAGTGGAAACATTTGAAATCACGCCATCCGTGCATTGTTCTATTTTTCTTATGCTCGGTGTGACAAAACAAATAAAAAGTAAGATGAATACATTTTTATCCTTTTAAGAAGAAAAATAGGAATAAAAGGGATCAGTAAGATCAATCTTACTTTCTTTTCTTAAAAGATAAAAAATGTATCTCTCTTACTTTTTATTTCTCTTATTTTTCATGATTTCTAACAAATTGAGCATTAATGACAAATAAACCGCTTAATATCTAAACCAAACATTTCATGAAAGTGTTACGTTATCACGTAATGACCACCAAGAGGTGAGCTAACATATGGGGCAGAATTATAATTATAAATAGAGCAATGCTATTGGGACCTAATTTACTGACCTAATTTATTGACCTAATTCACTATAACCTTTATATTTACTGTGGAGCCCATCAAATATTAGAACTTAGTGTTGATCCAATAGTTCTATTGAAACCACATCATTATGTCAAAAAATTAGATCAAATTTTTAGGTCCAAATAGTATTACTCTTATAAATATATGGGTTATGTAGTAGCATTTTCTTTATAATTAAGTGTATTGGGTAGAAAATTAGAGAATTATGTATAATAAAATTTAAATTCAATACTAGACATATGAAATTATTATATTTCAAGACCTAATTAGTTAGAATTATTAGATTAATTATACAATTTAAAATTAAATTAAGATTTCTTTTAGTTCAATGATCATAATTAATTAAATCTGTTTATATATAAATAACAAATTTCTTATGAGATATCATGTTAAATGAGGACCATTATTGGGCCGCCATGTATTAATCTCGCTATGAAGAATCATACGAAGTTAGATCATCGTGATTTCGTTATTAGTCAATAGTCAGTCTGCCATGGGACCCAAAAAACTTATCTCCCGTGGGACCCAGGCCAGCCGGTCATATTCTAGGCACATGACTTCTATGGGCTTGGATACATGTAATTATCACTCATTTATTAGTATGAGAAAAATAATTCGGTAAGATCTCACTTGGGGACTACGTTTATTAGGTGAGTTCGCAACAAACGATGAGAAAGAGAGAGTCATAAACTAAAAAAGGGCCCTACATTTTTCCGATGTTTATATAATAACCACACGATCTGCAGGCGTGGAACGGGCCGGGACCACCAAAAAGTCAAACTTCTATACTTTTATTTATAAGTTTATAATGATAGAGCCCCTTATACGGTAATTATTGAACACCGTCAAACATTTTCATCTAATTCTATATAACGTATGCATATAAGTTGATTACATCAGGGACTTCAGTGTTCTGTAGGTCTCGTAGGTGACTTCTCTCTCTCTCTCTCTGCACATGTCTGTGAATGTGTATGTGTTCATATGTACTGATATCAGTATGAAAAGTAGCAGATCTAGGGTTTGGAATGCTGAATTTCTGTAAAGCGACTTTTCATTGTTTGATCATGTCTCATTCATTCGCTCACTTTTTTGTTTTTTTTAACAGTTGAGCTGGTTCGTGTCAAAATTTTGCTAATTTTTGATTAATTATCGGAATGAGGTATGGATTTTGAGTAGTTTATGGTTTATCACTAGTTTAATTGGATATTTTGTATTGAATTATGTGAGGTGATGGAGATTTGGTGTGTGATGAGCAGATAGATTGTGAGATCGAGATCGAAGTAGGGAGTGAACGAAGAGGAAAGTGAAGATGAGTGAAGGCCAGCGGTTTCAGCTGGGAACGATTGGGGCTCTGTCTTTGTCTGTGGTTTCGTCGGTGTCCATTGTGATTTGTAACAAGGCGCTTATTAGCACTCTTGGTTTCACTTTTGGTGAGTCATCCACGTCTTCAGTGATGCAAAACATGTCATTTTTATGATTCCCTAATTTTTCCTCTCAATTTGCTTATGGTTCATATACTTTGATTTCTTTGATGTTTACTTCATAGTGAGTTTCTTTGTACTACTGGTTTGTGTGTTATTTATTTGTTTCCTGCTTTATATAAGCTTAGAAGATCGTTTGTGCCGGAAGTTGGTACCAAACGAATTGCACTTCCTTTGAAGAATCCAGTTTCATCTCACAATAAACTTAAGGGTTCCTGCTTTTTTTTTTCTTCTTTTTTCTATTGAAATGCGAGTGACATACGTGTATGGCTTATGCATTCTGGCCACTGAAATATGTTTATCTAGACCAGCTGAGAAAGAATGAAATTATTTGTGCTAATAATATTTGATCTGCTGCCAACTACAGAAAATATAGCAAATTAGTTTTCCTTTTACATATTATCTTATGGTGGGTAGGAGATAAAGTATATATCAGATCAGGATACTCAAGTAAATGCTGAGTTAAATAGGTGGTGTGCAACTAAAGATAGAAGTCACCTACAGCAATATGCTGAGTCTAAAAGCATATGGCCTATAGTAGAAAGAGCAACTTCCTACAGCAATATTTATTCCAAAAGAGTGATGATCATGCAAATCAATGCTTCATTGAATTGAATTAGCTTGCTTCTTTCACTATTTCCTTTGTAAGAGATGTTGGTCAACATAACATTGAATATTTGTGACAAATATGAAGTTCCACTGAAATGTGCCTCAGCCTTTTCGTATTCGGGAGATGAGCTGTCAGTTATATTCCCCTTTAATGGCTTTGAGCATGTATGATATCCCTAATTAAAAGTATCTTTCCTTGATAGACGCGTTGTTGTTTCACATGGATGCAGCCCTTTGTTTCATTTTATGTTGTGATATTAGTGACTTCTTTCCCTTTTTTTTTCTTCTCATTATGCTTGACCACAAATGGCCTTTCATTTGACACTGTTTCTTTTTATAATTGTGGCACAAGCCAGGGTCTTATGGTGACAATATGGCACCTTATAGAGTTGATACTGTCAGTTCTTAAGAAGTTGAGATCTCTTTTTCATCTATTCCTCTCTACTTCTTGTTGGCGCCTCTCTATACCACAGTGTGAAAGTGATGACATACAATATGTGGACAGAAGCACAATCAAAGTTTCTCAACATGGGGAGAAAGTGCCAGATGCGGCAACTCCCTAAAAACTAGACATGGTCTTATGGTGAGAACATGGCACATTATAGAGTTGATACTGTCAGTCCTTGAGAAGTGCCAAAGTGATTAACATCTCTTTTTTACTTATTCGCCTTAACTTATTGGTGGCGCCTCTCTATACCACTGTGTGAAAGTAGTATATTGCAATTTGTGGATAGAAACACTATCATCGATACTCAACATGGAGAGAGAGTGCCAGACAGGGCAACTCCCTAAAAACTAGGCATGTGTGTTTGCACTTGTGATTTGGTGAATTGCAATTTGTGGACAAAAACACTATCATCTATAGTCAACATGGGGAGAGAGTGCCAGACGGGGCAACTCCCTGAAAACTAGGCATGCGTGTTTGAACACGTGATTTTACTCTATCAGACATCAATTTCATTCTAAGTACAAGTATCCATGAGTCTGCCAGATTACCACAAATCCTAAAATGATGAATGCATTAACATCCTTGACTTGTTTAGAAAGTTGTATGTGCACTGTTTATAAGTATTCAGGCAATGATGAGTGAGTAAGCACATGAGTCACACTCACAAGTGTCCAGCATAGCATGGCTTTTTGAGAGGGAGAGGTGTCCTACATGTCATGAGTTTAATATTTAATAGTCACCACCCTTTTGTCAAGTGGGATTTGGAGTGTATGCATATGCTGATATGATCATTGGTCACTGGTTTAGATATATGTGAGAGATGTTTTAAGAGAATTTAAAATGATGATAATACCACTGTAAAAACTGTAGTTGAATTCTAAAGTCGCTTTGTGCCTGTCCTGACCCCAATATTTGGTCTATGGTCATCTATTTTTTTCCCTCTGTCTTGAATTGAGGATCCTTCCAAATAGTCTATAAGGTAAGCAATAGAGCATAGCTTACAAATACAACAAAGTGTCAACATTTGTAACTGCCATCTTTCAATACTCAACATGGAATGGTTTGCATGCAAGGAACTAGTATCTTCCTAGTTTCTGCTTTCCAGAGTTATGATTTTTTAAGCTTTCTGTACTTTATAAAATTCAGGACTCCTGGTAATGATCATAGAAATAAGAACTTGAAGGGGTTGGGGGGTTGCAGGCCGTTACTATTGTTGATCCTGCACATATAGGACGTTGGACGGGTGTAAAAGGTGTAAACATTTGGCACTGCTTTCACAAAGTGGATGCTCTCAAACTCAAACTGCCGCAAGGTGGTTTCTCTAGTATCTATCTTTGTATCCTCGTCACTTTCAAAAGCCACATAAGCATCGCTTACCAGTGATTAAAACTGGTATGTAGTAGTTGTTCACCTCACAAGCCACTACCAGTAATTCAGAGGGAAAAGTTGAAGATGTGCAATGCAGGGATGTCTAAACGTTCTTAGAACTGATTTGGTTTCTTCTGGATGAAATCCTTTGCATACTGAATGCTACCAGCCCTGATGGAGCTGGTTATTTAAAAGTTTAGAGATATTGAACTTTTATTTTACTTACCCCACTGATCATTTCTATGCTGTTGAGTGCCGGTCTTTAGTTTGCAATTTTTGTAATGTAGAGTGTGGACAGGTTTCCGAGCCATACTTTTTTTTATCTATATCGTTTTTGTTTTTTTAGCATAGAACTTGTAAGGCATGCAATTGTGATACTTTCAGTCTGCTTATATTTCTTGAATCTTAGATCTTAACTTGTCATATTGGACACTCAGCTACAACTTTGACAAGCTGGCATCTTCTGGTCACATTTTGTTCTCTTCATGTGGCATTATGGATGAATTTGTTTGAGCACAAGCCTTTTGATCCAAGAGCTGTCATGGGCTTTGGCATCCTAAATGGGACATCCATTGGACTTCTAAATCTTAGCCTGGGTTTCAACTCTGTTGGTTTCTACCAGGTACATTTTTTATGTCCTTTCAATTGTGGTTGATGGTTTCAACTTTCAAGTGGTGGTTTTGACTAGTTTACTACATTGACAATTGGATGGATCTGTGGCTTGTATTTATTCTCCTTGCCCAATAGATAAAAGGCCATTAGACCATAAAGGTCTTATAATTGTTGCTGGGGCAAATTTCAATTACACCTTCTGAAAAATGGCCTAAATACAGGGACACCCCCTATGGTTTCTAAAATATCACCGTCATCCCCTGTCAGATTTTGTCAGATGTAAAATAGAAAATATTAAATGGCATTACTACCTCTTAACAAAATATTTCTTTCTTTGTCTTATACTTATTACTTAATTTGACCTTAGTTTAAATACTTATTTGACCCATATTAAAATAATTTAATCATAACAAATGCCCATCTTTATTTATACTGGTAGTTGCACACACACCCCAAGTTGATCATGGTTCAAGGTTGCAGTATTAACTATCAACTTGAAAAGCATGATACACATTGGTCGCGGCACAACACGGTATTGGTTGATACACACAAAATGCTAAATACAAGGCCTAAATTTTTTTAAAAAAAACATGAAAGATAATAGAAGAATGTAAACAACAATATGCATGTATGATATGCCCAAAAAATGCATTATCTAACACATTAAACATAGCGAAATGAAATATAAGGGTGCTACCGCTAATATTTACCATCATCAGTTTACAAGTAATATATGGATAATTATATATTGAAGCATATATATGTCTAATGATTATATGTCCACTTGTATGGAAAAAAAAAAAAAACTTAATAAAAGATATCAGTTTAAGATGATTAATTCTTAAATATAGATATATATTGCATATATATAATGTTGTCAAATATACTATTAGCATATGTTTAAGCCTTAAAACATACTTTACCTATTTACCTACAAAAATATTTAACAAAATTTATCTAGAATGGTTCATCAATGTTTTGTTGAAACATTTAAGAAATTACAAAAAAATAAAATGAGCAATTTATTTAAGATAGACGAACATAGCATTTGGTTCTAAGAGTTTGCTTGACGTCGAGAGAGAGAGAGAGAGAGAGAGAGAGAGAGACCATAAGTGACGATATAGAAGAACCACTTTTGCTGTGAAAAAGCAATGATGATGGGTTATTGTGCGATGATGACTAGACCTATGGATTTCGATTTCACAAAGAAGAAGAAGAAGAAAAAAAAATGTCTTTTTGTAGTCGTCTTCATCATGTGGGTGTCGATCAGGGGCGAAGCCACCCTTGGGTTAGGGTGGGCACATGCCCCCTTTAATTTTTTTTCTTCTTCATATTAGACATTTAATTTTTGAAATAAACTTTAGAAATATTTAATTGTGCTCACCCTATTATTATGTTCTGGTGATATCGATTTGAATAGACCCTTACCTAAATAATTGTTAATTTTTCGAACAATGTTATTGAGTCCTAATTTAAGGACTTAATGCATTGTGATATTAGGTCTAATAATGAGTCTCAATATTTAATAAACTCTACTATCTATCCAATGGTTACAAATCATTGGATCTCCACCAATTAAATATCAAATTATGTGCAACTAATATTATGGTTATCTTCTAGACAGGTTTCAGACATGTCTAAATATATTTTGAACATATTGAGGTTATTTTTATAATTTTTTTAAATTGTAGGGTTATTTTGTCATTATATAAAAATGTGTGTTAAATATAAAAGAAATATTATTGATAAAATTGATTTGCAACTCTTTCAAATAATAAAACATATCAGATTCAATTGTAAGTGGCAATAATTAGTCTCGTTCTTTATAAATTCTTTTAATTATTTTTTATTTATTCATGTTATGCATATTGATTTTTAGTCTATTATATTTACTGAACTTTTAAGTATTAAATACAATTTTAATAAATATGAATTTATGAACTTCTACGGTCAATTGGAAAAAAAAAAAAAAATTAACACATGCTAATGTGCCTAATCTAAAATTTTTTCCTACCTCCACCCTTGGTGTCGATTTTATATGTTTGTCTTGAAAATTATTTAAAATTCTTCCTTTGTTTTTGTGAAAAAAATGGAGTCTAATTTAGGATTTTTATTTCCTAAAAATTTGCCCAATGTGATGATTAATTAGGGGTGAATTTCTAAGGTTCTACGGACATAGAATTTTTCCGTTTTGTATCTTTGCCTTTTTTCTGTTGTTTGAGATCATAAGAACCAATTGTCATCGAATTGATTTGTTTCGGCTTCAACTTATCCAATTTGAGCGATACAACTCTGAGTTAGGCCAGCACTATCGTGTGGCAATCGAGTTATGACTAATTCAGCTATATTTCGCTATGTTCTTGTATCAAGTATCGATATCAGATCGGTGGATGTCGAGATGGATACGACTTGGCCAAATCTAATTAGACTCGGCTGATAATTTGAACCATGAAATTGACTTTCAATTCAACAAACTAACATTCAATTTCATCACAATAACACTAAATTTATCAATTTAATTTCATTAAATTAATATTCAATTTCATCAAATTAATATTTAAAAAATTAATTTCGTCAAATTAACATTCAATTTATTTAATTTACAATTTATTTTCATCAAATTAAAATTCAATTCATCCAATTAACACCTATTTTATCAATTCAATACCAATTAACATTCAATGTCATTCCACTAACATTGAATTTTATCTAATTAATATTCAATTTCATCAATTTTACATTTGATTTCATGAGATTAACTGTATTTTTATCAATTTAATACCAAATTAAAATTTTAATTTTTCAGTTTGTAGTAGGTGCTGGTGAAGGATAAACTTTTTCCAAGCTTATAAATTGGACAAACGTGTTTTTTTATCTGCATGTACAGGTGAACATCCATGTGCATCAGATATGAAAAAGTTGCAATTGTAGGACATGAGGACTGTTTGGTTTTAGGATTAGTTTGTTTTGATAAAATAATATGGTTATTTGGGTACAAGACTGATATATAACTGAAGAGTAAAATTTTCATTTGTAAAAGAATATTGGCTGATATCATCACTTTTTAGATGTGTCAGTAGCGACGGGTAGTATGTGAAATGAACCTCTAAACTATAGGGGATGGCAGTGATATTTCAGAAAACATACAGGTAGTCCCTGTAATTAGGCCATTTTTAAGGGGGTGTTACCGTGTCAGTGAAATTTACCCTTGTTTCTGCTATTTGAACACTGCTAATTGTTACTGCAATTTCAGACTATAACGCTACTGAAAGCTACCAAGTGTGCTACATGTTTTATTACTGAACTGATGAACCATCCTTTCATCACTCAGACAACGATCATCTGGCGGTGACAGATTACCAATGTTAAAGGCTTGACCTTAACGTAGAGTTATATTGTCAGAATGGCCAGTGGAAATTTTGAAATCATTAAAGACAAAATCTCCAAATTTCCAGGAATTATGAAATTTCTCCTGGACACACTGTTATAAGATCCTTTACTATCTTGATACCCTGTTCAAGTTCATATTCATGATTCTTGTGTTTCAGCTTCTAAAACTTTTATTTGGAGCAGTCTCTGAACTTTCTCTCTCATGATTTTGCATTGTAGATGACAAAACTGGCTATCATCCCCTGTACAGTTCTTTTAGAGACTCTTTTCTTCAGGAAGATATTCAGGTTAAGTCTTCATTTCAATCTTTCCCTTACTGTGGCAAGCATGTTTCCTGATCTTAAGAAGGATTCTCAAGTCTATGCAGATGGAGTCAGTTTGTTTTTGAAGCATGATTACCTTATTTAGGTTTTACTGACCTGGAAAAATAAAAGTATTTGTAAGACTATATTAATTACAACTATAACTTTGCTTCAGAATACTCATATATAAGGGCAAAGCTTAGCTTTACAGTAAGCAAGCTGAAATGCTGTGGCTAGAGTATGAAAATTATACCTAATGAACTATAATACTCATTAATCACCCACAATACGTCAAAGACACTACGAGATATAACATGTGGTTATTGTTTTGCGTCCCAATGTATTTGTGATTACTCCTGTCCACCTAGCTTGCTCAATTTCTTTCGAAAAATCTTCATGTTAAATATATATTTGAGGAACTTTTGATTTGATTTTTCTTAACTCTCTTTTTTTATATTTTAAGAATATGAGTGTACCCGGTGTCTGAGATTGTTTGTCATATGTTGGAGAATGTGCCAGATACCTTGGGCCTTGTTTCAGGCATATGTCCAATAGTATTTGAGAGGTGGCCGTATCCAACATGAACACTGCTCTTTCTAAAATGCTCTCTGCCTCTTAGATTGTAACTGTGTGGTTGCTTGTAACTTAGACAGCTTAAGGCCTCTTAAAAGTCACTTTCCATTTTAGGGTCATAGGTACATTATTGTATTTGGAATGTATGGTTGGCTTATATGCAAATGTCATACTAATATCCATTTTGAATGCACTTATATATTTGCCTTCTTTTTGGACTAATACACATCCTTGATCATAATTTGCAGTAGGAATGTCCAGCTTTCTCTTACCATCCTTCTTTTGGGTGTTGGAATTGCAACAGTGACTGATCTGCAGCTCAATGCCCTTGGTTCAGTCTTATCTATGCTTGCGGTTGTCACAACCTGTGTTGCCCAGATTGTATCCTTGGCTGAAGTGCACTCTCTGTTGTGATATTCATGTTTCCTTTTTCCACATGTTACCATGCTATATAGGACCAGGAAAATAATAAGGTTTGATCCGAAAAGAAGCTTGATTCCAACTTTTCCTTCAGATCATCATGCAGTTGTTGGTTAGGTGGTGTTGTTGGATATTGTTTTCATGTTGTTATTTAAGACCTTAACCAGTGGCTCTCAGATGACCAATACCATCCAGAAAAAGTTCAAAGTTTCTTCAACCCAGCTCCTGTATCAATCTTGCCCCTACCAGGCAATCACTCTGTTCATCTCTGGACCATTTGTAGATGGGCTGTTGACGAATCAGAATGTCTTTGCTTTCAAATATACCCCTCAAGTGCTGGTGAGAATCAAATCCTTTTCTCCTGGCCGTTAAATATTGCACAAAACATTAAACACTCTGTATTGTCTTGATTGCAGGCATTCATTGTTCTATCCTGCCTAATTTCAGTCTCGGTGAACTTTAGTACCTTTTTGGTTATTGGAAAAACATCTCCAGTCACCTACCAAGTCCTAGGACATTTGAAAACATGCCTAGTTTTAGCCTTTGGATACATTCTCCTCCACGATCCATTTAGCTGGCGAAACATTTTAGGGATCCTGGTTGCTGTGGTTGGGATGATAATTTATTCTTATTGTTGTGCTATTGAGAGCCAGCAAAAAGCCAGTGAAGCATTGCCACAGTTGTCCCAGGTACTTTTGCCTTTTCCCTTTTGACATGTTGGCAGTATTTTTTCCTGGTATGACCATCAGAGAGAAGAGGAATAGATGGTCATTTTCTCCTCGCCAATTCTCTCTCTCCCCATTATTATTGCATGCTCTTTTAGTCCTCACCGCTGTGGTCTGGTTGAAGCATTTGATAAATTCTGGAGAAATATTGATTTACTAATCTTTTTTTTTTTCTTTTTTGAAATGTTGAAGGCAAAGGAAAGTGAATCTGATCCTCTCATAAGTGTAGAAAATGGATCTAGCATCCTAAATGACGGTGTTACAAAAGCCCCTGCGTGGAATTCGAACAAGGACTTGCTTGCATAAAGCCTCCTCACTCGTTACCAGTTTGTTCAGCCTAGTTCAAAATTCATATAAGAAACCATTCGGGCAATGAAGATGTTGCTGCAGGGGTTTCCATACGTCACAGAGCATGGGTTTGAGCATTTTTGAGAAAATTGTATAAGTTCTATCCTAATTAGTTATCAATGCAAAATAATACTCTTTTAGATGTAGCGTTTTTTATTATACCTTTCTAATAGTTAGGTATGCCAACAAAATGCATAATGCAATGGGGTATTGTTGTTCCCATATACTGAAATTCTTATGTTCTTCCCGAGAGAGGGAAAAAAGCGATATGCAGCCTTCAAAATGAAATCATATCAATCTTAACTGAAATGGTTGCTGGTATCCGACAAGAGACTGCTGTGTTCCTACTTGATTCTTGGTACCCTTGGATTTTGCTGAAGCCGCTAATATGTGGTAAAGCTTTTGGAAGTGAAAATAGGGTCTTTCTGTTATTAGGCTTTGGCGAATATGGATGGAACCTGGTAATATGATGGGATTTATCAGTGTATTAGGTTTTGTGAGCTCGTTTCTTGAGACTCTTCTAAGTTCAATTGTGTTTCTAAGCTCTCCAAGCATGCAGCTCAGTGTACCTTTTTATGTGGAGGAATGGATAGAAGAGGGAGGTACATAGCCAATGGCACCTCCGGGTTTTTGACACCCAGCTGTTTAGTCATTGTTTGGATTGTAACTTCTCTCGTCTTCAATAGAGGGAGCTCTTAAATTTTAGATCCTGATGGTGGTAAAGGTAGCCTTGGCTTTTTTTATTTTTTAACCTTTTTCTTCGTTTCTAATGCTTTGTATATGTGTTTTTAAAATGAATTCCTCTCTTAAATACTTTTTACAACGAAAAAAATGCTATATCTATATACAGGAGAATATACTCAAAATTGATGAAAAGAAGCACAAAGAAGGTGCAAAAAAAAAAAAAAATACCAAGATAAACTTAAGAAATCAATCCTTACTTCAAGCAAGGATTAGTCTGTTGACGTCCTAATTGGTAGAAACCAACTAATAGTTTATATGAATCTCGTAGTTGATGTGAGAAATTTCTTTCACCTAGCTTAGGTCAAACAAAGCACAAGAAACCCAATATAATTACTCTAGACAAAGAGTTTTTCGAGTAGGAGTTACACATGGGGGAGTCTACTAAGAAAAACTTATGAATCACTTGAAAAAGAAAATAGACATAAATAAGAATACGGATTCCTCTCATCAAATCTATAGTTAGTCAATCACCATGTTATTAGCTCACTCACTCACTCTTTAACAACCATATTTGTTCTCCTACCTAAAAAAATTGTTGTCATGCTCCACAAACAAGGAAAAAATATTCATTGCAATAGTTATATCACGTCATTATTATTATGTTATATTACCAATCAATATGCAAACAAATAAAAAAGTAGGCCCTACAAAATTCAATAACTACCCGTTCATGTAAACAAATAACTACTGACCCTTCTTTCATATAAGTCAATAACTACCTAAGTGAGATTCACTTTGCCCATTTAGAGTTTTATTTCGATTAACCATTAGATTATTACTCTCTTCTCCGAAGCTAAAGTTATTATTGGTACTACTGAACTCTTTGACCATGTCTCAAGCATTATTCAGTTGAATTATTTAGTGCAGCGCAATTATAAACCTTAAATGTTTATTAATGTGCAGTCTAATCATTCCATCTTTCTTTAAACTGTGGAGCAAGTTCATGTTCCAAGTGATCCAAAAGCTTAAAGGCATTTCGGCAGTTGGTCGGTCAAGACCAGTTGGGGACTTTCCCAAAGCTCCTTTTGACCACAGCTATGTAAGAAACACTGACACAAAGAACAAGACTAGACTGAGGGCGGAGAAGATGAAGAAAGTCAATGGATTCATTCGCATATGAGCCTTTGCCTATACTCAAGAGACTTGTGAGATTGACAGAGACATGGAGGCCAGACTTTTGGTTGGTGATATCATTTCATTAATGCTGAGATAGTAATTGTAATTTTTGCATACATTACATAGAAGAACATTTGAGTCTATGTTTTTTTGTTCACATTAATCTTTAAAATCCGACTCGAGTGTCAAAAAATTTTAGAAAGTCCAATATTTTATTATCTCGAATTTGTTATTATCTTTGTATTTTTTACAAGCCAAAAGAGTCCCTGACAACTATTTTCCTACATCAATGCTCGTGAAATAATTATTGGGAGAACTTGTGAACAAGGGGAGCAAAAAAGAGGAAAAATCTGAAGCCACATTGGTATGATGTGAAGCAGTTTTTTTTTAATGGCTTTTGATCTTTTAAAAGCCAAAAAAAAAAAAAGAGGGTTTTTTTGCATCTTATACCCCAAAAGATGTCTTGATTCTTTTTTGCACCCCGAAAATTATTTTGCTCACATTGCAACACATGTGAGTGACATGTGTATTAATTTTTAATAGAGTCTGAAATGAATGTCAGTCCGAATGCTATGTTAAAATAAATTTAGATATTCAGGGTACGATATAAGAAAAATAATTTTTTAGAATGCAAAGTAAAAATCGAAACATCTTTCAAAATATAAAATAATAATCGGAACATCCTTCCAAATATAAATTGCGAGAAAAAAAAAAGGGAGAAAAGAGAGCTCAGGTGCACTTTGTTTTCATCCGAGGAGTCAGACGATTGTGAGGACCCTGTCGTCACGTTGAGCGCATAGCTTTCATCACAGCTCTCCACAAAAAATGCATCAGCCGGGAATCGAACCCGGGTCTGTATCACTTACTATTTGTGCCTAATTTTACAAACCTAATGTTTTATAGTCATTAAATGGATGGTGGATTTTCATTCAATGTTAATACCCAACAGTTAATCTATTAGACATAATGAATTAAATCTTCCATGTAGGTTGTAATGGTGTCGTACCTTCGACAACGACAAATAAAAAAAAATTATACAACACATAAATATTTCTAAATTATGTGAAACAATCAAGAAAAATAATTTACCTAAGGAAGAATATGAATGCCAAATAAGTTGGACAAGTAGGTCCGTCAAAACAAGATCTCCTAGCACTAGTTGTGTTGGAGACTATTTTTGACAAAAAGAACATACAAATTTATATTACAACATTTCTCAATTTTATTTCTACAACCCTCATCGTCATCCCACCAATTTAACCGTCGTAGTTCCAACAATATCACCAAAAATGACGGACCAGAGAAAACGTTTGTAATTCAATTTTCTATTATGTTTGAATGCCACAAATTACTCTTCATAAATATGCCAATTGAGCTTCTATTTATCTACTTACTGAAGTGGTAATTTTACTTTTAACTTATTTACAAATAATTTAAATAAACAATTACAAACCCTATTTTTTTGTTAAAACTTAAATGTACTTGGGAGAAACAACAAATCCTAGAAGTCCCTTTTTTTTTTAAGTTATTCCAAATGTTTATGCTCTGTTTGATAGGGAGGGTTGAAAGTAGGAAAAATACATTTTTTATCCTTCAATGATGAAAAGTAAGAAAGATACATTTTCCTTCTTTTGTATTTGGTTGGATTAATGGAAAATAAAAATGACTAATTTTTTTTTTTTTGGGCTAAAATTAGAGGTGACAATCGAGTCAAGCTATGTCGTGTCAGATTCGTGTTGAGTCATTACAGTTTGTGTCGAATATTATTCAAATATAACTTAACTCATTTAACTAATTGTGTCGTGTCGAGTTGCGAGTTGACTTGTTTATTTTTGTATCGAGTTCGAGCCGTGTCATCGTGTTGAGTCGAAAATTTTCACCCTTAGTTAAGATAGAAAAAATAAAAAAAAATTAATTTTTTTTAAAATTTTTAATTTTTTTATAAAATTTATTTTTAAAATTTTTTAAAATATATATACATATTTTATCATTGTATTTTTATATGAAATTAATGTATACATAAGATATATAGATAAATAAGATACATCTTAACACAAATAATTAATTTTTCATCCATTTTTTTTCCAATTTTGGAGAGATTGATTTTTGTGAGTTGGAGGAAAAACTAATTCATCCACTTTTCTATCTGTCCTATTTTCCTTTCTTACCAAACATGATGTTTTATTGATCCTTCAAACTTTTCATCCTCTCATTTTTTTATCGTACCAAATAGAGCATTAAATATTATCCCCAACCATATATTGAAATTCACTCCATGTGAGTGAATTAAACTAGCATCTAGTTTTATGCATTTGAAGAAAAAGTGTAAATAACCAATTATTTTACACTATTTTGCTTCGTTAAAAAAAAAAAAAGAGATACAAGAAAGAAAAAGCACACCAATTTTTTATTTATTTTTGGGTACATAGGAAAAGCCAAAGTTTTATCTAAACCCTTTAGCAAAAGAGATACAAGAAAGATCATTCTAAAAAAATTGTTCCAACACAAGCGATAGGACATCAAAAAACACAAAAGAGTCCTGTGGTAGCCCTCTCAGGCTTGCCATCTTGTCATCTCAAAATTTTCTTCTGTCAGTGTGCGAAGAATGGGGGTATTAGTCAATCCTATTATATACTAAAAGTTGACAATGATTTTCCTTTCGAGGTGGAGTTCCTCCAACCTAACAGTGATTAAGTTGAGGGCTTACAAAGAGTCAATTTTCATGATCATGAGTGTTTGGGCAATCTCTCAGTATATGAATTGTGCTTTCGCTGTGAGCCTTGCTTCTCTCACAAGAAGGATCATTCGTGACTAAACTTTATAATCTTGTCATTTTTAATTTTAAACAACTCAGTTTCATGAGTTTAAGTCTTTAGTGGATCCATTAAGAAATTTAGTGTATTAGTTGTTATAATTATTATTAGAATTGAGTTTTAAGCAAAGACATATCCAAAGCATCGTTTTGATGGTTATGTTGTGTCACATGAAAAGGTCACGATATAGTAGTGTTTAAGGGTCAGGAGTGTTCAAGTCAACCTATAATCACCTTGATTAATGTCTTCATTGGTCTCTCATCCATGTTATAATTAGAATATTTATAAGAAATAAATCTAGCATAACTTGACTCTAAAGAATTGTCCAGATTCAAACCCAAGACTTATGAGTTTACAGCATGTCTTTGTTATTTACTTAAACTGAAAACACCTATAATAGAAGTAGAAACCTATTATGAAATAGAGTTTATGCAGTTCTATAGTTCAATGATAGAAACCAATTTCATAATGTATGAAATAGAATTTATGCAATTCAAACGAGTATATATAGTTTCAAGTTAATTTTAAGATGAACCACATACTTAGATGTTTTTGATTTAGTTTTCACTATGACCTTAAATTTGATAAATAATTTCAATTAGCAGGTGATTCGGATATTTTATATATAATCAAAATAGGTCCAATAAGGTTTTGTCTTGAACTTGATCAAGAAAAAAGAAGGTTTTGTCTTTAAGAGTTTTTACTATATTCCCGTAATTTATCAGAAAAAGGCAAGAAAATTGAAGTGTAATCCATGTTTGCACTTTGTTTTTAAGTAAAGGGCGGTATATTGCAATAGTTTAAAGTTGTGGGGAATAATCTGTAAATGCCCCAAAATACTAGTGTTTTTTTTATAATCCACGGACCGACCCGGATAATTTACCAAATCGACAAGGATCCGAGTCGTGGATCCTCACCCAAGGACGCTAGGGCTTCAAGCGTTCCGTATAAACATATCTCATTCACTATTTTCTCACTGCTCCTGAAATTAACCCTAGTTCCAGAGAAGCAGAGCCGTCTGAGTTGCGGAGACACAAGAGATCATCCAAGATGGTGAGAGAGAGAGAAACTCTTGATCTTCTTCTCATTCTTCATCGATTCGCTAAATCTAATTTGCGTGTGTATATATATGTGTGTGCAGACATTCAAGCGAAGGAATGGAGGCCGCAACAAGCATGGCCGCGGTCATGTCAAGTTCATCCGCTGCTCCAACTGCGGCAAATGCTGCCCAAAGGTCTTTTCATTATTGCTCTCTCTCTTTAGTATGCATGCTTGCCTAGATCTGTTTAGGATTCTTGACTGAAATCGATGTTGATCCACCGGCCCACATGTATCTTATTATTGGACGGTTATGCACCCAATATTTTTTCCAGAGGTTGTATACAATTTTGTGGAAAGATCATTTAAAAGTCTGGGATTATATTCAATTGGTATAATTATTTCATTTGTTCAGTGGAGTACAATTACATGTCCATACCATACGTGTGTTTATGTGTTTGTGTGTAAAAACAGTTATTGTAATTATATTTGTTTGGAAGAGTACACCTATATAGATGTATCTTTTGGGACTGTATGTTCATGTTCAGTACGTGACGTATTCTGGTAAATGCTTGAATCACTGTAAATTCATGGTAGGAAAATGATTTGATTTTTTGGGCAGTTATTTTGTGATTATGGTGATTTGTTACCTTGTATACAAATAGGTAGGTAGATGTGCACTATACAGATATAAATTGAGGATTGCATAAGTACTATGGATTGCTTGTTTGTTATGTTGGGGTTATGCTAGTTGTTTGCCCTAAATGAGGTTCTTATTGTTTTGCCGTATTTTGTGCTTTCTGTATTTTTTTACATGTTGTGTGATACTTAGACAGATCTGAATTTGTCTGTAGTTATTATTGTCATTGAAACTCTGTTTAATCGAAGTATGATTTTGTATCTATCTATTTCAGGACAAAGCTATCAAGAGGTTTCTTGTGAGGAACATAGTTGAGCAAGCTGCTGTTAGGGATGTGCAAGATGCTTGTGCATTTGATAGTAATTCTCTTAGCTTCTTTATTTTTTATGCAATTTCTTTTTTAGAATTAGTTATTTGCTTTGTAATGATGAAGATAATTAACCAAATGGTAGCTGTTATGTGTATTTAGCGTACACTCTCCCCAAGTTGTATGTGAAGATGCAGTACTGCGTTTCATGTGCAATTCACTCAAAAGTTGTTAGGGTCCGCTCTCGCACAAATAGGAGGAACCGTGAACCACCTCAGCGATTCAGGCGCCCAAGAGTATGTTTACTTCACCTTCTGTAATTGTTAACAGTTTTTAGTCTTCTCGGACTGATATGTTCTGTTGCTGGGATTTGATCATCCTTTGAATGATTTAAGCAGTTTGTCGAAATTGGACTTATTAGACATGAAATACTTATCTAAAGCGAAAATTGAATTTGTATTAAATGAATATACCAATGCTATCTGGCCAATGGTCTGCCTTGTATGCAATTCGCAGGGGCACACATAATGACAGTTACAATACCAATGAATTTTTAAACCTTGCTACGTGGTATTGCATCTCTATAATATTGCTGCTTATTATATCAGTTTTCTTATATAATTCTCTTCATTGCTTCAGGAGGATCTTCCAAGGCCAGGGCAAGCACCGCGTCCTGCTTGGGGAGCTCCAGTTGCTGCTCGTACTTGAAAACCCACTTGTTATTCTGCTCTACTAAGCTTTTAAACTTGGTTTCTGTGGAGTTTCATTATGCTTCAGTATATAAAGGTTTTGACCTTGACTGTTACTTTGTTTTATTTTAAGGTGGCATAGTACCTTCTTATCATTCAAAATTGCTCTAAAACTAAAGAGTTTTAAATTCTATCAATGAAGTGTTTTCAGACTTGTGACTGCTTGATTATGGAGATACACACCCTTTTATCATAGCATATAGTTCAGTGTCGAACTCGGGGAGTTCATAGCTAGAGGGAGATCTAGGGAACATTACATTATTATTCATAGTTTATAAAGTGAAAACCATGTTTTCATTTTTTATCATAATTTGATGCGCAACCCTTGATTTTACTTTGCTGAAATTTAATGGCCTTGTATTATTATAGCTGGTTGCAATATATTATTGCAGTAGGAATGCAAAACCTTGTTGAGTTCAAAGCCATTCTTATATATGACTATAACCTGCAATATCTTTAAATTTCTTGCTTCATGCTGTGGTTTAATAATTCTGTGATGGTTGCAGTATCCTTTTAGGTCACATGGTACAGGAACAGGATTATCATGGTCGTCCTTGCTTTGGCAGAGGAAGAAATCTTATGGTGGTCTTGTAAATCACATGTTTATTACTTCCTATAGGAAATCATCAGGCTTAGCCCTCGGATTTGACAGTCTAATCATCAGCATTCAATATTAATATTAAACTATCCAAAGGATTAAGTGAATTCTAATTGTATGCACGTGTTAGTCATTAGGTAATTATTCAAAGGTAATTTTTTTTTTTTTTTGAGATAACAAAGGTAGTTGCATATCGGGAAATTCATTAGCTTATTTTATGGTTTATTATTACGTGATGGTATTACATGAATGTTATTATGGACAATTTTATGTATATTAAATTTGTGTATCAAAATTTATATCAAATTAATTGCAGCTTTTAGATCATTGACAGGACTTATTGATCTAATGACCATAAGTGATTTAGTATAAATTTTAGTACATATTTTATGTAAAGTAATATTACGAAACTCAAATACATATCATCTCTTGAATGAGTGAATCCTATTAATTTCTTTCTTGAAACCCACAAATCCAAGAGGAGCAATGCTATATATCCTAAATTTGTATTTCAAATGTACATCTCAAATCAATAAGGATGGTTAGATCAGTGAGTATCAATTAAAAAAATTGATGAAACACACTTATATAACGGTCTCTGTTCATTTGGAATGCAAATTTGAGTTACATAGTATTTCCCCATCTAAGAGATAACATTCATTTGAGTTTTATTTGGGTTATGCAGTATTTTTCTTTTTCACGCATATAGTTTTGCTTTATTATTATTTGAACAATACTACATTAATTTAAAAATTAGGAAAATACTATGTAACCTAAATTTTCAACCTAAATAAAGGGAGACCATCTTATGAATGGGTCATATCAATTTTTTTAAATGGGATTTATTGATCAAATGATCTTCTTCATTTGGGATACAAATTTGGGTTACAGATGTTGGTTAGATAACATTATTCTAAAAATTATACTTGATAATTATAACTATTGATTTTACTGTGAATTTTGATATTTATTAAGACTCATTATCTATTGAATAGTTGTGATTATTAAGTTTAGTTTTTGAATTTAATTTTTTAGATTATGTAATATTATTTTTATTATTTTATTAAATGTTGTCCAAATCTTTGTCCCTTCCTTGGTAGTAGCAGAGACAAGACAACCGGACATAAATGTCATCTGCAATTCAACTCCCTAGTCTTCTGGAATCGATAACAGTCAAATGGTTTTTAATAGAACCTAGAATGTTCAAGGAACAAATTCCAGCTTGCAACAGTTCCTTCTTTCCATTGACCTTTTCTTTGGTTGATATTTCCCCTCGATTGCATAAATATGGTGTATGTTCATTCTCCATACTTATGCAGACCAGGATTTTTTATTGATGGTCCATTATTTGATAGTGTGACTGAAAAAATAAATAAAGAAAAAATTATGAGTGATATATTTTTTATATTTTATGAAAGAATTATTCTTTCTCTCGTAAGAGAGATGTAAAGTTGAAAAAATTGATTTTTTTTTGTATGTGTTTGATATGATGGGAAAAAAAATATTTTTTATTTTTTATTAGAAAAATATAAGCATATAAAATTAATATATACATAATATGCAACTAATAAATATAATATATAGACAAATATTATACGTTTCAATACATATAATTAACTTTTTATTTATTTTTTCTCCCAATTTTGTAAAGATTGATTTTAATAAATTAGAAATAAACTTAATCCATCGACTTTTGCATCATTTCTATTCACTTACTTTTCATCCTTTTAATTTTTCCATCGTACCAAATGAAATTTAATTGTTTCATCTCAATTGATATGATACAATTTTCATCATCAGATAATTGAGTTTCATTAATATTCAATAATTAAAATTATGCTACATTACTTGAAATGAAAAGCTTGGTAAATATAATATTACTATTATATCAAAGCGATTTTCCTTATTCCTATATTAGACCTCTAGAATTAGAAAAAAATATTATTTGAATTTAATTTGAAGATCTAATAATCTAATCAACTATTATTGTTGGATTTAAAGTGAGTTGTATCTAACATTGAAACTTACTATTTATTCAATAGTAATATTAAATTAAATTCTCCAATGAGATCTTATAACATTCCTCTTGAAATTATGCTTTTAATACATAGATTGTGTCTTTTAAAATTAATTACCATTGTGATTGCATGACCTTATTGTTTTGCAAAGAGAATACTATTTTAAAAGAAAAGTATCCCCAGGAATTAAAATATTACGATTTAAACTAATTAGGGTGCGACTCAAATATATCAAAATTACAACATCAATGAACGTCAAAATATTTGAGATTGATAAAAGAATGTTCGAAGAACGATTTTAATGAATTTTTGTATATCGTAAATTAATTTATTATAATTATTATTTGATATGATTGAATTATAAATTTAAATAAAATATAAAATATTAATGACGGTGCCATAACTTTCTCACTATATTATCAGAATCATATATATATATATATACAGACACACACACAAAACCCTCGTCCCAATCAACTCCACATTTTTTTCTTACCTAAAAAAAAAAAAACCTTCACCAAAGGCTGAGTGTGTGTGTGTGTGAGAGAGAGAGAGAGGAGCTTGACATGACATGTGGACTTTAGCAAGAACGGTTTCATATTGTTATTGTGCAGTTTAGCCAGAGCTGTAACGGAGGCAAATAATAATTAAACGACGACGTGAGACTTATCTAATTCTCTGAAACGTCATCGTCTTGAACTGCATCTTTCTCGTAAGAAACCAATAAATCTTGATATTTAGTACCATTTCCCCATCACTTTTCGCTTCCCATTCTCGTCTCGTTGCGTCGCAGGCTTTCTCGCTGCAGACGTGAATGAGAGAGATATATAGATAGAGACAGCCCAACCATGTATATCTAGAGAGAGACAGAGAGAGCGAGAGAGGGAACACACATACACAGGGGGTGATTTTAGGAGGTGGGTTTTCTCTGCACAAGAGGTTGAAGAAAGAAAACGGAAGGCTAATTCGTTTGGATGATTTCCTACTAAACCGACCGATTAGCAGCCGCTTGTTGTCTCAGTCTCCGACTTTCCTGTTCGCTTTCTTCATATGTATATACAAATACACATACATGCACAGATATAGAGATGTACACATTTGTAACTGAAACAATTCACACAATGCTCTGCTGATTCCGTGAATTCCTAAACACCCAATTTTGTTTTCTCTCTCTCTCGACCCGTTTCTCTCCAGAATCTTCCATGTTGATTGCACCTTTTTCTGCCTCAATGGCCTTAAAAACCCTTTGCCCTGTTTTGGGTCTTTGAAGGATCTCCTGTATGGGTGATCTCCAAGTGTGGTGTGGGTGCCAAAACGGCGTTGCGATGGAGGATGACCAGTTCTTTTCGTGTAATTCACTGCCAATGGCTTCTTCAAATCCTGATCCTTCATCAATCTGCAAGAATTGTTGGGCTGTAGCTGAAGAAACGACGCAAGAGGTGGTGAATCGTATCCACCCCACTTTGGACTCTGAGGAAAAGAGGAAGGACGTGATTGATTATGTTCAGAGACTCGTCAGAACTTCTCTTGTTTGTGAGGTGAATTTTCATATTTCCTCACTTTATTTTAGATGTATATATATTCTGGTATAATTTGGGGTGGGCCGATGTCTACATAGTTAGTGTTTGTGTAATTGGTTTTCTTGGTTGTTGGTGTGTTGGTGTGATACTATCTGTTGGACACTCAAATTCTAACGATCTGTCGATAGTTTTTCTTTTGTGTGCGTAAAAGTAAACAATTCAGGCAATTCATTGATTTTTCTGCTTGTTCCATTTGTGGAAGAGTAAAACAAGTGTTAAAATGCACGTAACAAGGTATTTAACCATGATTATCTCTCATTAAGCCCGTTTCATTGCTTTTCACCCAATGGTTTGATTCCATTTATGATTGAGTTTATATGGGTTTGTTGCCACTTGCCTGCATCATTTCAATTCTTTTGACATGTTGGCACCCTGGGGCAAGTTATTGCTCGTGGTTTATTGTGTTTAAACAGAGAGTTGCAGCCATTAGGATTTCGTTATGACTTTTTGTGGGATTAGGGTGGGTTTACACTCAAGTTGTATGACCAATGAGTGCCACTTGGGACGTCTCGGGAATTAGGTCCTTAATAGTTAACACACTTGAGGGCACTTATGTCTGTGTTGGCACAGGTATCTTGAGCTTCTTCTTTTATATTTCATTAACAAATTATCTATGTGCGCTGTGAATAGTTGGCTACAGCCCTGATGATTGAGTGATTATGGCTTAATATGTCGACATAGGATTGGGTATGAGCTGTTTAGCTGTAACATTCCACATACTAAAATGATCCATATTCCTCCTTTTTCTCACTTTTTTCATCATTAATCCTGTATTTTGTTAGTTTTCTTCCAGATGAATGCACATGCAATTGTGATGATTAGCTCCACTGACTAAGCATATGCGTTGTTATGGATGTCAATGCCTTCTTTCCGAACAAAAACTACAGTAGTTTTTCTTGGAAGTCCAATTTCAACCCACTGCTTATGAATGAAGCTTCATTTGTTTCTTCGTTAACATAATTCTGTTTCCATTATATTATGAAACATTTTTTAGTGAGAGCAAGTCACGTGGAACGAATATTGTTCTATATAATTGAAGTGAAATAAGATGGACTTTTCTAATTGATATGCATATTTTTTAGGTTTTCCCTTATGGATCAGTTCCACTGAAGACCTACCTTCCTGATGGAGATATTGATTTGACGACCCTTAGCAGTCCAAATATTGAGGAACGTTTGGCCTTTGATGTTCTTGCTGTTCTGCGGGCAGAAGAACTGAATGAAAATGCCGAGTATGAAGTAAAGGATACCCAATTCATTGATGCTGAGGTTTTTGTTCAGTCTGATCTATTCTTGTCTTTTTCACTTAATTGGTTTAATATATGCCTCATTCTTCAGAGGTTTGTTTAGCGTCAATAATCTTAGTTAGTAGTACTTCTTTTGAATTACTTTTTGAGAATCATACTTTTGTTTCTTTTTTTAAATTTTTTTGATCAGGGAATCATTTTATATTTCTAGTTTCCAAAATACACCATATCCTACCTGCATCACCTACTAGGCACAAATCTTGACTTTGAGGCCTTGATAACACAAAATCTCAAGTGATGCTCTAGACTAGAGTCTAATGGTCCTTCATTGTGTATTGGACTATAGAATTTTAGTGGATTGAGATTTGAATTGTGTAGGATAGTAAGACCGTATAATTTAAATGGATTGAGTTCCGGATTGTAGGATCCTGATCCCTATTGCTCTATGACCGATCCAATATTGGAAATATTAGGCCCCTTTAGTTATTAAATTGACGTAGTCCATATATATTCCGTTTGTACTTAAAGGCTAGTCCATGTGTGATGGTTCCATAAGCTTATTAGTCATTAATTAAGAAGCACAGATACGGACACGGGGATGTGGCAAAGTTCCAAAATACAGGATATGGATACGGCGAGAGTAGGACTAATTAAAATAATATTATATACTTTTTCTATATAATAAAAAATATTAATAATAACTAATAAGACTTAGCAAACATTAATTTTTTAATTAAAATTGAAATAGGTCAAAGATTTGAAATAAACATCCACCATTTCTTCTAATATTATTACATCAATTGGCATTCATAGTCCATAAGTTTGCTAACAAAAAAACACAAAAACAAAAGAAATTAACTTGATTAGAATTCTAGATTTAAGCTTCAAATAACATATTAGAATTCCATATGCAGGTATATTTAGAATTTCATATAACAATCCAGATTATAATTTTTTCCAGATTAAAGTTCCACTCGTGAGATTGGGGTGACCGGTGAAACGAAGGTTTATGCACAAGAAGTAACTTGATTTGTGTTGGTGAGCTTGGTGAAAAAAAGTATTCCCAAAAAAATTGTTCAAACAACAAAAAGCCCAAAAGAGTTCCAAAATTTCAAAACCCTAACCCAATGAAATTCATAAACCAGATGATTTTAAACGTAAATAGAAAAATCAAAATACAAACAATCCCAAATCATGCAAACCACGAAAGTTGCAAAACCCTAGAAAAGCCCATAATGGAACCTGATTTGTAGAAGAATATTAGTTTTTTGGTTATCCCTCCTCTTCTTATTCTTCTCCTCTCTTCGTTGCCAAAGAAAATTGGGTTTGTCTCCTTCGATGGCGATGGCGATGGCAATGGCAATGGCCTTTGCCTTCGCCTTCGCCTTCGCCTCCTCTCTCAATCTCTCTATTTTCTCGTCTAATCAAACGAGGGAGTTGAGCCTAGGAATGAAAGAAATAAAAAGAGACCTAAATGACGATGTCTTCTTTTAAACCTTTATTTTATTTTGTCTTTTTGTTTCAACCCCCTAACTTTTTTAGATAACAAAAATAACACTGTTGTATCCTATAAGTGTCATGCTCATGTCCCATATTTGTCCACCCCGTATCCTATTGAACTTTTTTATTTTCTATTCAAAACATTTGTAGAAGTGTTGGACACGTGTCTAGCCATATCCCATGCGTATTCTTGTCGGACACGTGTTCGGTTGTGCCCCACGCAACCCCTCGTCGAGTTTCTGTGCTTCCTACGTTATTAGATAAGTTTAACGTATGAGAAAAGTTATAGAAATTTCTATTAAATTGTATGTTTGTCTGCCTCACTTTCGAGTTTCGATGAGTGATACAACCATGTGTATCTTTCATGGTTGTATGTTTTTCTTGTTGTGGTTTGTCTGCCTCACTTCAAGTTTCGATGAGTGATGCAACCATGTATATCTTCCATCTTTTATTTTCTTCTACATTTTTGTTGGATGTCAAACAATTAAAAGTGTTACAGGCTCTCAATTTTCCTTGTCTCACCGTTGTCTTTCTCACACTCTTAATTAAGATGAAAATACTACAATTCTCTATTATTCTTCATAAAATCCTACAAGATGAGCAACCCATTTATGATTTTCTTCCATTTTCAAAACCCACATTGTAGTTTTTCAAGTTTTATCATATATGTAAGTTCTGTTATGTACGTACCAGCAATAACCCTGTGTCTAAAGACACTCTATAATACTAAAAATAGAACATTGATCGTTCAATATTTTATATTTTAAATAATAATTTATTTTTTTTATTTTCTTTAATTATGTAATTTAAAATTAAAGTGAACATGTTGAAAATAAAAGAGAGGTAAGTGGGGATTAATAGAGTTGTTTGGTATTGGAGAGTATTGGTTGAATTGATTGACATTGAGGGACGTGCATAGAAAATGATGTTTGAGTTGAAAAAAAAATTGTGATGAATTTTGTACCATTAAATCAAAATAGATGAAAATAAGATCAATCTTTTCACAGTTACTGAGCTTTTATAAGTTGATAATTCAACTTGCTAGATTTAATATTAGATAGATAATAGGCTCGTTTTATTTCTATATTTATTAGATTTTGTATTGTTAGACGCTTTTTTAGTCCCATTTTTCTCAGTTTGTAGCTTCTCTTACGATTTTCAATGCGGTTCTATGATCCCAAACCTTAGCCTCTCCCTTGATCCAAGATTGGATCACGATTTTAAATACTTTGGCTCAGGCTCAGTTTTTCTCGAAGTTTACTGGATAGTAGCAACCCAATTTTGTGCAAATTTTCCTGTGTGTGAGATCTTGGATGTTTATATTTTCTTCAAGTTTTGTGGATTGTGAGTAATGCCACACTTATTTCGGATCTTTACTAGTCTCTTGTGCAGTTTTGTTGGCAATAGACTGTTCATGTGTGCGTTGATTTCCTGATAAACTTCACTTTAGATGCAGATGCTATTAGTTTCTGTGAACTGTAATTCTTTCAATTTGCTACTTTGGACTTGGTGATTATATGTAGAGGAATACAAAAACCCTCCCAAATCTGCGACTGGGTGCAGAATTTCTTTGCTTCTACAGGCAGGGCGGAATTCCAAGTACTACAATGTATCCAATTCTGATCTAAACTCTTTAGGATTGTCGCTGACTCGTGTAATTACTCTTGTGGGCAGATTGATGTCTTTTAAACTAATTCACATATTTCCAAATTTTAGACAAGCTGCACTATGCATTAATGGCTGAGTATTTTTTTTGGCTAATTTCTATTCAATAGTCACCCTCTAGCCTTTTTTATCACTTGTGCGAAGATTTCTACTGAGAATATTTGAATTTCTTATGGCAGGTTAAGCTTGTGAAATGCCTTGTACAGAATATTGTGATAGATATATCCTTCAATCAACTAGGAGGACTTTGTACACTTTGTTTTCTTGAACAGGTATTGGATGAGGCTTTCTAATAAAATATAAATTTATACTTTCTTCTTGTCTTACAAGTGTGAGCTTGATTCTTACTTATTGATTATTTCATTTTGCCTTTCAAAATGCATATGCAGTAAGCCTCTTTTCCTCTAGATGGAATTTCAAGGAGTGCCAGTTCTTTGTTGTTGTTTTCGGTGATGATTGTGGTAGTCTTAAAATGCTTTTGCAAAGTGTCAAATAAGTTCATGGTAATAAAAATGTGGACCCCCACCCCAAAAAAGGAGGAGGAGAAAATAAGCTTATCTGCTGTTGGTAAGTACACAGAGATAAACTAAATGGAAAGCTTTCTTCAAATTGGACTTCATACAGGATAGTGACAGAACTAGGTGTTATATTGGTTCTAGACACACTTGGAAAGTCTGCTGAGCTGAAGGTTGACCAAATTGTGCTTTTTGGATATTGACATTTTCTTTATGTAGGTTGATCGCCTTGTTGGAAAAAATCATCTCTTCAAACGTAGCATCATTCTGATAAAAGCTTGGTGCTATTATGAAAGCCGTATTCTTGGTGCCCATCATGGTTTAATTTCTACCTATGCTTTGGAGACATTGGTCCTATATATATTCAACCTGTTCCACTCATCCTTAGATGGCCCACTAGCGGTAACTACTGGTTTTGCAAATTGCCATTGCAGTGATGGACAAAATGATTGCATGACTTCAACTGATTTGTTTGCCTATCTATAGGTCCTTTATCGATTCTTGGACTATTTTAGCAAATTTGATTGGGAGGACTATTGTATCAGTTTGAATGGGCCAGTTCTCAAGTCATCCTTGTCTGATATAGCAGGTAAGATACACTCTTGTTCTTTTCGATATCGTACATTATGAGTTTCTCTATTCCCTGTCTGAGCACTCTCCCTCTGAATGGACAGTTGAGTTACCAGTGAAGGGACAGGATGATTTGATGCTCAGTGAAGAATTTCAAAGAAATTGTCTAGACATGTACTCAGTTCCATCCAGGGGGCTTGATACTAGCTTGCGATCATTTTCTCAAAAGCATCTTAATATAATTGATCCGCTGAAAGAAAATAACAACCTTGGGCGCAGTGTCAACAGAGGTAAGAAGAGATATTTGAATTGCTGTGATACTGGGCTTCTGAAAGTTTCATAAAATGGACAAGTAGTAAGAAACTTTCTCTTTTTTCTATGTTGTGAACTTGTGATCAGGAAATCAGTGAAATGCATAAAAATAAAATGAATATCGTAATCTTATGTTTTGGTTATTTGGTTCTAAGGATTGAAAAAAGTCCAAAAAAAACTCAACACTTGAAAAGCAAATGGTTTATTGAAGGTTTAGTTAGGTGGAGGTATGTTTTTGCTGCATTCTTGATTAGAAACCCAGTTAGCTGGTTAAATTTAGACTCTTGTGTCTCTTGGACACTCTCAGGCTTTCTTTCGGAGTTACAGAGACTCAACTCAGTCTTCTGAAGCTAAAAAAAAAAAAATTGAAATGGAAAAAGGAGGGAAAGGGAGGGAAGATAGACAGGGAGGACCTAAGAACTTACTTTGGCAATGTACCTTCAAATATATTTAATGTGGCAAATAAAATGTTTCTTTCTTGTGAGATAGGAAAATTGTTGCATTTGGAACTAGGCATGATACCAAAGGATATTGCTACACCAGTACACCAACAAATTATTGCCATACCACTGCCAGCACTGCATGCACCGCAACTATAATCTTCACCGACATTATCCTATTCTTGTCATGTTAATGTGGCGCACTTTGGTTCCCTGTAGGCAATTTCTATCGTATACGTAGTGCTTTCAAATATGGGGCTCGCAAGCTTGGTAAAATCCTTCTGTTACCAGGAGAAAGAATTGCAGGTGAAATCAAGATGTTCTTTGCAAACACCCTGGAGAGGCATGGATGTAAAGATGGTGCTGATATACAGAGTTCTGCACTGCCATTTGGTGTGAAATGGTCCAGCAATTTGTCCTCATCATCCCATGCTGAAACACTATCTGAGGATGAAATGCAGCCAAAATCATCAAATGACGATTTTTCTGATAATAATTTAGGGGTAGAACACAAATGCACTTCAGTACTAATAAATGGGCTAGACAGATGCTTGACTAGACTAGATCGTTCACAGATAATGTCAGAATCCAGTTGTTCGACAGATGGGACTGCTGTCTCAGGATGTCGCGGTGCTGGGGATGCAAATGGCCTTGCAACACCCAGGCCTCTGAGTTTGAGAAGCTCAAATGACACAACTGACTGCTCACCAATAAGTAGCAATTTTAATAGTTCTCTTTCTGGGCAATTTTACGATGCATCTCATTTCTACTTCTCCAGAGTGTCCACAGAAAATGGAAACTTTGAAAATGGGATCCTCTGCCAGAAAAGGCCATCAGATTTCGTTGATGAGAAGATGGGTTATCATTCATGGATGGAACAGGGAGAGAACCATTTAGAGGCCAGCCACACAGTCTGTTCATGTGCAAACAATCATGAAGGTCTGAGCTCTAGTGGGTCGGCAATCTCAAGTCTTGACATTAACAGCTTAGAGAGTCTATCTCTTGATTTTAGGGAAATGGGCTTAGGTGGCGACATGGAAACTTTGAATCCCTTAGCAGACCTCAGTGGGGATCATGATAGTCACATTAGGAGTCTTCTGTACGGTCAAAGTTGTCATGGATATGCTTTATCTGCTGCACCTGGGATGCCCAGTCCTCCCACATCGCCCTCTCAGTTCAGCAACAAGAGGCCTTTGGATACTGTCCGACAAACCAGGCCACTCAAGCAGAATTCATGTTTGAGCACAGATAGAGTGGCCTTGGGACCACCTGTTTATCCTGCTAACAAATCAACACTGTTCAATGCTACTTTTGGTTCCATTGAAAAACATACAGAACGAGGAACTGGCACATATTTGCCCACTATGGTATATTCTTGTCAACCCTTTTGGATACATGCGTTCCTCTGCTCCCTCCCCCCTTTTGGTTATTGTTGGCAAGGATATGTGCTTCCTGTAGAATAGTTTCTGGTGTCAAACTAAATGCAACAGTCTCATTTTGCAGTAATCTCACTCTTGAAGTTTTGCAGAACTTATTTTCAGGCAGGGAGAGATCCTCACAAGGGAAGAGAAGATATCGTGCAACAGGAACTCACAGTCAAGTGCGGAGACACACCCATATCAATGGTGTGGCTCCTGCTTTGCCCGAAAAGAATTCAATTCAAGTAGACAGTCAAGATATTTCATGTGTCAGGTCCCCGGTTCAAGGTCATGGGAAGTCTGGTTTATCCCACCAGTCTCATCAGTCCAATGTGGGCAATACTCATGCCAATGGCTTCTCCAATTTAGCTTTGAGAATTGAATTTGGATCTCTTGGACAGCTAGCCGATGGAAACAGTCAGCTGTCTTCAGGCACTTCTCAAGCTTGGGCTTCTACATCAAACCCTGTGGTACCAGAAGTGCAGACTTCCAAACCAGTGCTGAAAAAAAAAGAAGAAAGGTAGCAAGTTTTTTTTTAACATTGCTTCAGTATTTTGTGGGTAACAAAGAATGTATTTGGCTATTCGACATTTCTTCCTTGCTAACATCTAAAGTTATGTACATGGTTTGGGTTTTCAGGGTTGCCGAGGGATCCTATTACCTTAAGAATGAAGACTTCCCCCCTCTGTCCTCCTGAATGCTTTAGATAGGATGCTAAAGACTGAAAAAGTCTAATAGTTGTAGATGCTAACAAACTAATGTGATATTTAGGGAGAGGATTGTTCTTTCATACTCATAATTTCTTTTTCGACTTTTTTAGTTGTTTGTAAGTATATAATGTACAATCTGGTAGCATTTTAACTCCTGGTTGGTTTTTTGCTTTTGCATCTCCATTTGTTGGCTTTTAGTATAGGATCTTTTTAGTAGAGGGAGTGCCGATCTGTTTTTGTTTGGTTAGTGGAAGAAATTGGATGTCGATATAGGTCATACGCATTAAGATATGCTTAGTAAACTTATGTGCGTGTTTAAATACGCGGCAATGGGTATTATAAATGACAGAGTGGTCTTGGTCTTTCTATCACGACTTACTGGGATTCAACTTTTTATTGTTCCGATTCATCCATCCAAAAAAACACTTGTGTGCGAATATGATTGTGTGTGTGTGAGAGAGAGAGAGCTGCAATTTGGCCTCATGAGTTTTGAAATGTTAGTAATGGTGCAATTTACTATCTTGAAGCCGAATCTTGAGCAATGGTGTTGCAGGAAGGTGACAGGTGTCTCAATTTCATCAGTTGTAGAGAAAGCAATGCTCAAAACTGGAACTAATTTGGAATGGCTTGGGGTGGTTAGACGAGGATCAGACTAATTACATTAATCATTTAAAAAGTTCAAAAAAAAAAATAAATTATATAATGGTAGATAAAAACTATTGAAAATAATAATTAATTATTTTCCAGGAGTGTACATGATTGCTTATGTTTTTTATTTAGTCCACATCACACATATAAGTCAACTAACTATAATCCGTGTTTAAAAGGACGATGAAATATAAAATTTAAATGCTAAAAATTTAATTCTACTACTTTAAATATTAATTTTTATTTACTTCTCTTTTTTTAATTATATAATTTAAAATTAATTTATACTAATTATTTTTTAAAAAAAAATAACTTATACCAATTATTTTATAAAAAAAATTGATTTTTTTTCTCAAAATTGTATGACCACAAAAAAAAAAAACATATGTGTACTATCGTACAAAAACAATATCTAAATTAAATTAATCAACTTGTTATAAACATAGATGATCTGATAGAAATAAACAGAAAAAATATATGGAGATAAAATTCAAAATAGTACCTATCTTATTATATAGATTATTTTGGGATAACGAGGATTAAACATTTTGACCAAGGGAGGGTCTATTTTCACCTCACAAATATTCATTTTCATTCCATTAAAATTTTTATAATCGAACTACTCTAAGTCTATTGTTTCTATACCCACCCTATTTTAAATAAATTCTCCTTATTCTATAAATACCCTTTAATAACAAGTTCACCTTTCGTCTTTCCAAAATTAGGGTTTCAATTCACTATTTTCTCTCATACAATCTACATAAAAGAGTTTCTTCAATATGGTTTTTTAGTGAGATACATGTTAGTATTATTTATTGATTTAATTATTTGTTTGATTATAGGGATTTTTATTTTTATTTTTTTTTGTGTTTTGATATTTTGTCAAGTTGAATTATTTTTGATTTACGGTTTATATGTGAGTCCATATATATATGTATGTATTCATACATTGTAATTTCTTGTGTTGATTATTTATAATTGTACATATAAATTATTCTCATAAATATACTCAATAGATTTTTTTGATCTAGTTTGTCTATACACAGAAAAGTTAATATTGTTGTCCACACTATAGAAACACAAATTACTGCTCCTCATGTTAAATTTAATGGAGGTTGTTTTGACAGAAGATATGATAGGTTTGGATAAGATCTAGATACAGAAATTAGTGTACTTATCAAAATTCATATTGAATTGTTTTTTTGTGTAGAGTGTATAAGAAGAGAAGGAAAATGAAACTCTAATTATGAGAAGATAAAATATAGGTATATTATTAAAAATGTATATATAATATGAGATAAATTTAGTTAAAAAGAGGTGGATATAAAAAGGACAATAATAACCTTATCTTTTCACCAATTACCATATACTTAGTTTGTCTCCTATGAAAACAATATAGTAATATAAACAAATTGAGCATCTCGTACATGAAGCAACAATAATTCAAAAAAATATACTTAGCATTTTCCAAAAAAAAAAAAAAATGCATAGAGGACAATGCATTTAAAACTCAATAATTCAAATATAATAAGATTGGAAACTAAGATAACAAGCACCAGTGGTCTAGTGGTAGAATAGTACCCTGCCACGGTACAGACCCGGGTTCGATTCCGGCTGGTGCATTTCTTGTGCAGAGCTGTGATGAAAGCTCTGCGCTCTACGTGACGACAGGGTCCTCACAATCGTCTGACTCCTCGGACGAAAACAAAGCGCATCTGAGCTCTCTCTCTTTTTTTTTTGACCTTTTTCTGATGTTGATCTGTTCATAAGTTCTTGTAATACTTATTGTTTCACCACTGTTGATGTATAAATATAGTTAGAGTTTGTCGTGACTTGCAAAAATAAAAAAATTAATAGCACATTGGAGATAATGGAACATTGATTATGGTGATGGCCTATAATTCTCCGACACCGACTACAGTTAGTAATATAGATCAGTTAAATTTGTATAATTAAAAAAAGAACGTTTATTTGTTATTATATTGGTTAAGCGTTGACACCCCTCTTATAGAGTAAAGATCTATTCTCGATAGTTGTAAAATCTTCAATGTCGGTATAGAGATTTTATTTCTTGTTCGCTAAACAATCTTCTGTTGTAACACTTAACTATGCATTAAAAAGGCAAACCACACCTATTTTTGATTTTCTATGAGCTTAAGGTGAAAAAAGACATGGACTCTAGTGTGCTTATGCAAATACTGTGATAAGAGTAACCCTTATTCTTATCCTTGTTTATTTTATCTTTTTAATTGATTCATATGTTTTTCTTCAATCAATTACCTACCTAGGTGTCACTGATTCATAAATAAATTTAAAATTTTACGAGGGTCTATCTTGGATTATTATGTCTAATCTTTTTATTTTGGACTCTTGTTTTTCTTAAGTCTAATCATTCTAACATCAACCACAAGATTCATGTACAGTATGACCTCTCTCAATTAAGAGGTTAAGAGATTAAGACTTGCTGAAATAATATAATATTTTCGGGTTAGGTTGTTGTTGCTGTCCATGTAGTTAGTCTTTGATGAATAGTCTTAACTTATCTTAATTGATAGTCCGGTGTCTTATTTAGACCGCCAACAACTTTAAAATTTTGATCAGTTAATAACTTGATAATTGCTCCTATGAATACAGATAGTGATCATAAAAATGAGAATGTTGTCACTAGAATGCGACACAAGCCAAACAAGTGGCAATTTACTTAGATATTCGAGTCAAAATGCCACGATTTCTATATTCAATTGGACTCCACTCAAACATTGAATCTCTCCCACTATCTTATTTAATTTAATACTCATGCCAAACTTTTTCCTGAATTTTTTATTAGCAATCCATGTTTTTGCTTCTTTTATTGTGTATCACCTAATTTTTATGAATTATATATTTTTCTTTAGGTTAAATTCAAGATCATAGTGATTTTGTATGATGCACAAAATGACCAAAAAAACAAAACGAATTAATTATACCTATAATTATCTCGTTTAAAACGACTCTGCTTCTCTACAACCCACGTCTTAAGGTAGTTAGGCTGCCCAAATCTTTGTGTTTGAATAATTTCTTTGTATACTTAACACATTGTTTCGTGTGAGATTAAACAAAACTTGTTTCTATTTGTCACAATTCGTCTGACCAGGGCGGAGCTAGAAAAATACTTTAGGGTGAGTACATTAATAAATTTTAATTGTTTTTTTTATCAATGTTATCAATGACTTGATTCAATGTAACTGTTATTTTAGTTGTAAATTTTAATGTTAGATGAAGTCTACTTTCAACCAAATGGGTGCATTAAATTATGTCATTAAATTAGATCTAAATAGCATTTTTTATTTTTTATTTTTCAATTCACCATAGAAGTTCATAAATTCATATTTACTATAATTATGAGTAAAAATTCATTAAACATGAAAGGTTAAAAACGGATTTGCATGGAATGAAAAAATAAAAGTAAATTAATTAAAATTTTGTTTGAGATTAATTATTATCATTTTACAATTAAATCTGATTATTGTTTATCATTTAAAAGATTTATACAAATCAATGATATAATAAATAATTTTTTTCTATATACAAAATGCTAATAACAGTCTTTCATTTATTATTCTGTAATTTATTATATTATGACGCTAATTTCTATACAATAATAAATAATTCTATAATTTAGAAAAA